GCTACACACTTGCAGAATGAAGAAAGGCTGCCGAAGCTGGTGAAGGTTCCCACAGAAAATAAAAATGAAAAGAACGGTTGGTAACTAGGGACCGTATGTGGAATTGAGTTGTTTAAGAAGTTAGACATCTTGTTAGTTAAATGGGATTAATGGTGGAGCCGGGAAGATGACAGACCACCAATAAGCCGTTTTTAAGAAGCTGGTTTACTGTGTCATCAAAAACTATCAAAATGACATGATCAGTAAATAATGACTGTTACTAAATGTTATTTATATATTTATTTATTTATCATTGTTAAGGGAAGTCTTCTTGGGGATGCTGTGATAGACCAGCATTAATCCGGGCCGCGGGTGGTAGTCCCGGTACACTGGTCCTGAGCGCAGTGGTTGGGAAAACACAGACCTGTAGATGTGACTCATAGTGAAAGTTTTATTGAGGGGGAGGTAAGAAAATAAAGGAAGGAAAGAGAAAAGAAGAAAAGAGACACAAACAGAGAGAGGACAGAAGAGAAAGAAAGGAGGGGAGAGACAGGAAAAGTCCTGTCTGTCCCTTCAGGGAAAGGGGGAGAAAACGGAAGTGGGTGGAACCTTCTTTTAAAGAGCCCCGTGCAGGTGGGTGAGAGGCGGGGCCAGGTTTGCCCGGATTACAACACCCACCCAATAAAAGGCCGCAACTGGAAAACTTTCACCCAGCAAGGATATGGCTTCTTCGTAGCTGCCTGGGTGGAGCTTCTCCTCGTCTTCCCTGAGCTATACATACTCTAGCCCTCCCTGAGGCCCTGTAAAGTTAAGGCGGTTTTGTACATTAGAGACAGCAGCTGGATACTCAGCTGGGGGTCGACCTGACTCTCCATACCTCTCCAAGGCGGGTTGGAAAGGGTTAAGAAGCCCAGCTAAGATGATCTTTCTGCAAGCAGGTGCCGTTGACAGTGGCTTGGCTCAGGATATGCCCCTTTCCCCAGAGTCCCCTTTTTCTCTAACATGTTGCCTCTGTTTTGAGGCCCACGATCCTGCTTATGGTCAAAGCTTTCAAAAACAAAGATGGAAAACTTTTCTCCCTTCCCTTCCCCCATATATAAAATGGCTCTTTATCGAGCCCTAACCCAGCTAATCACTCCAAGGCCAGTCCCTTCTACCTCAAGCCCCTTCTCCTTCCTCTGCAGGCTCCCTTCAGTCCTTCCTCTGCAGGCTCCCTTCAGTTCTTCCTCTGCAGGCTCCCTTCAGTTCTTCCTCTGCAGGCTCCCTTCAGTTCTTCCTCTGCAGGCTCCCTTCAGTTCTTCCTCTGCAGGCTCCCTTCAGTCCTTCCTCTGCAGGCTCCCTTCAGTCCTTCCTCTGCAGGCTCCCTTCAGTTCTTCCTCTGCAGGCTCCCTTCAGTTCTTCAGCTGAGGCAGCCTTCCTCCCTCTGAGCCCGGCCCACCATGATCTCTCTCTTCCTGTTCTTCTCCCTTGTCCAGTAAACTCCAGTTGAACCTGCAGGTCCAAATCTGAGGTTTTGGCACTAGGCGCTCTGCTGACTCACTCCTTCCCTAATCTCAGGACCAGGCGAAAGCCCCACATGTTTTCAGGGTGTTCCTGTCATCACTGGATACTACCTGTTTCCTTTTCTAACCTGCCAATGAAGGGATTTTGTTTTGTTGTTTTCTGCTCAAATCATTAAACTTTCATTGCCTAGCACCATGAGCAGGACGAACCCTTTCTAATTGTAAGGCACACACCCCCTGCCCTATTACAGTCATTAGTCACCAGGTTTGAACTAATATTATTTGTAAGGTGCCTTACCCCAGCAACCAGAGACAAGGGGAATGCAATCTGCTCTTCTAAAGGATTAATATGATTTCTTTAACAGAATAATAGGGTCTGGAAAACAGTGGTTGAATCTGGAATAATAAAAACCATAACAAAAACCACAATGAAACCGACTCAATAGGATTGAAAGTTGGAATTGCACAGCTCAAGTTCAGACGTAAAAAGTTACTCACTTGTGTGGTAGGTCTGACTTGCATAATTGTGCACATAGTTCAGGAATGAAGAAGTACGCTTTTAAAACTAGTTTTACCTGCTCACAAGGCCTCTTCTTCCATCAGTAGAAATCAAGTTTAATCTTCCCACGTATGCAATTGTCTTTTGGTTCAGCCATACTTTCTTCTGGCAATCATTCAGATACTGTAGAATTCATACTGCTCCCAGAATTACCTGTAGGGTCAGGTGTAGGGTTTGTATGAATAGATGGGGCAAACAACACCCCATAAAGCACCTTGGGGGCTGAAGGGTGGACTTCCAGATCCTCTTTGGGGGAGGGTTCCTCATTTGCTTCCATGGCAGCTCAAAATTGGTTCTCTCGAGGTGCTGAGTCATCTCTTTTGCAATGAGGAACACAGGTGTGGTTGGTAGCAGTCAACAACCTACCACAGTGACGGTGCATTCGAGAAGTTTCAGGGCTTACAAAGAGGAAGTCGGGGGAAAACAGATGTCCTGGCCTCCCTCTCTCTTCAGCTCAGGAAGACCAGCTGGAACTCCTCATTTAGATTTTACATCTGACAGACACAAGACCACACCAGGAACCTGCTATGCACTCCGGTTCTCTGGCAATGTCAAAGGATTATACAATTGTCCCAATGTTCAAATAGTTGCCGAAAGCTGACAACTAAGAAGAAAATTCATTGCCGGGTGGTGGTGGTGGAGCACACCTTTGATCCCAGAGCTGGGGAGGCAGAGGCAGGTGAATCTCTGTGAGTTCGAGGCCAGCCTGGTCTATAGAGCTAGTTCCAGGACAGCTAGATCTGTTACACAGAGAAGCCCTGTCTCGAACAAACAAACAAACAAACAAACAAGCAAACAAAGCAAGCATGGACCCAATCCTTTGGTTCTTTCTAACGTATCACAAAAGAGTTATCTAATCAAGGAAGTGACTGTTTGAACGTAGCTTAGGTGACGATGACCATGCCACTTATAGTACACTTTCTAGTATACTTTTCACCAACTCATCATTGCTTTATTTGGAAAGGGCTCCAGGGCCTTCTTTCAGTCACTGGCCACAGCCTCCTGCTGACTTACCTGCTCTCTGGGAGCTCTCTGTGCAGCAGAGGCCCGAGTCCAGCTCCCCGCTGCCCGTGAACCTGAAAGCAGACGTCTCTTCCCAACTCTGCCTATCCTCGGGAGCTGGGGCCCCACTGGCCCAGTAGATGGGTTTCTCTTAACCTGGGAAGTGCTCACCTGGACAGCCTTCTTTTAATTTCCCTTCTCTCCTTGCTTCCTCCTTCCAGCTAATCTGCCTCATATACAGCAAATAGAAGGTTTGCAGAGAGGGTTCAGTCTACATAGGAGCCAGGCAGACAACATGAAACCCACGAGCGCTGGTTGACCGCCCTCCTGCTTTAACCAAAACTAAACCTTCCAATGCACAGTGACAAATGTCCTCAATACCATACAAGATTTGTTCTTGATTAATAAGTAAAAAACGCTGTTGAAACAGCAAGAGTTTACAAAGCAAGAACAATGAAAATGAAAACATTTTATTTTAAAGCCAGACTAACTGCAAGTAATTTTCTCTTGAGCGACAAATGTGCTCTCAAGAACTCCTTTCAGTCCATGGTTGAGCTAAATTAAAATTACATATCAAATCACAAAATGCTTTTGATTTAAATAGTTCATGTTTAATAATAAAAGAAACTTCTAAAATATTAATACATTTTAAGACTCAACTATTACTAAATCCTCAGAGCATAGCAGATCAGCAGTAGAAAATAAAAATACTTTGTTAAATCATTTTCTTCTTAGTGTATAATCATTTGGCAGATTAATAGTTCACAAGAAATCATTATGCTTTGTATTTTTATAAAATATTTTACAAGAGAAACTGAATTAGGTATAATGGGTTAAATAAACATGCTATTTAAAACTGAACAGTAGGGAAAACTGGCACATTATTAAAATTTTGCTCAGTGACTACTTTTAGATGGTGACTAGGTAATTTCCTACAGTATTTTTAATAAAACATACGACAAAACTGACTCTAACAATTTTAATAAAAATTTTAGAGAAGAAAAAATCAGAGAAAGACAACCAAGGATCACAATGTGCTGAAAAGGAAGTTCAGTAAAATCAAGAACATAATTAGATTAAAAGCTGAGTGTTGTGATTTAAAAAAACAACAAGCACCATAATTTTCTTTTTGGTAACTCTATGTGCACCTTCAATTGGCTCGAGTTAACCCTATTCAAATATAAATGTGAGTCTCCTTCAAGTGTTTTCTCACTAAACAAGCACACAGGTATGTATAACGCAAGGGCCTACCTATCTCTCCTGGTGGTGGGTGACAGGAAGCACTACAGAGCAATAGCCTTCATTTGACTTAATCTGACAAGTAAGTTGAAAGCAGCAACAGTTACATTGTGCATTGTCTTGGTGCACAGGCAGATTAGAATGTACTTTCAGAATGTTTTTCAATCAGGAAGATTAACTAATCGTAGCATGATTTTGCACTACTTTAAGATACTCAAAACTTTAATTAGAACTGTGTTGGCTTATATCTACAATCCCAACATTTGAGAAGTTGAGGCAGGGGCATTGCCATGAGTTTGAAGCCAGCTTGGACTAGATAGTGAGGCTCTGTCTTCAAAAACCAAGAGAGAGAGAGAGAGAGAGAGAGAGAGAGAGAGAGAGAGAGAGAGAGAGAAAATAAAAGGACTTATTAGGATATATATGTATGTATATATATGCTATTTTTGTTTTTTAGACTATATAAATAAACTAAGATATTCTATAACATGATCTGAACTTGAAAACAAAGAAAATGAAAACCAGCAATTTCATGCATGTGAGTTAGCCAGCTGATGAGTTCTTTCACACACACCCTGTGTCCCTTTCAAGCACAAAGCCTCTGAACACAGTTTTATTGCCCCCAAACCTGCTAAATGGAATTTTGCAGTTTTACTTAGTCATTCTTTACCAAGGAGCTTTGTTATTCAGATCAAAGGCTGTTGCAATTAAGCCAAGGATTATTAGGTTTTTCTCTTTTCTTATTTAATTGATACTTTCCTTTTATGTTCCTTACATAATAAAACACACGGGGGAAAGTTCCTGCTCCGCAGATGTACAATCCATGACTATTTAGGTGACAAAGCGTTAATAAAGTTTTCAAGGTCTGCTAAAGAATTGTGGAGTTCATCATTCATCTCGTGACTTCTAAGAAATCTTTTAAGTGTGCCTACAGCTTCGATTGCTTCATTCTTGGATGGTAAGGGTGGGTCCACTTCTGGAGCTCCACTATCCTCCTCCTCCTCCTCCTCCTCCTCCTCATCAGACACATAGAAACCAGTTTCATCTGGTTTACTTGCATCATCATTTGGGGTGGCTTCACAGGTCTCTAGATCCTCGTCCAGGGCAGCGTATTCCTCTATGGACAAGCCTTCGGGAAGCTCGACTCCTGCTCCCAGAGCATGGGCAGCTAGGTCAAAAGTAGCGTCACTCTCTGAATGCGGCGTATCATTTTCCCCTTTGGGGGACCTGAACCCCGCTTCTTCATAGCTTTTAACGATGGTCTCTGGGGTTATAGCTCTCCAGCAGAGATGCAATGTATCAACCGCATCTAGCAGCGAAAATGTAAATTCTTTGCTACTTTCAACAGAACTTAAAAATTTCTTGATAAGACAATGCCGATATTTGATTTTAAGGCTTTTAATAACACCCTGCTTCATAGCTACAAATTCGGAAGACAAGCAGGATGGGAAGAATGCTAACTCAATAGACTTTAGGTTTTTCACCTCTGGATGTGCTGGAAAAGAATCAACAAAAATCACCACTCTTCGTTGCTGGGCTTGAAATTTGTCATCAAGCTTCCGCATCCACTGCTCAAATATGGCTGCAGTCATCCATGCCGTTCTGCTAGCTTCATAATGCACAGGCAATGATTTTACACCTTTGAAACAACGTGGAGTTCGGTTTTTCCCAATAATAAGCAAAGGAAGCTTCTCGGAACCATCCATGTTTGTACCGACTGCTAGCGTTATCCTGTCTTTGCACAACTTTCCAATTGAACATGTCTCTCCTTTAAATGCAAATGTATTTGTAGGTAACATGCGATAAAGCAGTCCAGTCTCTTTTACATTGAAAACATTTCGGGGATGATAATCATTTAAGTAATAAGGAAGCACATTTTGGTACCAGACAGTGGAAGGGTCTATAGATATTCCCGTGGCTTCTACAGGTTGAGCTCTGAATACCAAGCCGTACCTGGACTTAAAACGGTCCAGCCAACCGTTGCTGCACTTAAAGTCATTGTGTCCCAGCTTCTGGGCAAAATCATTAGCTTTCAGACGCAACATCGGACCATTAACTGGAACATTTAGACACTGGGCAATCCGATACCATCTCATCAATGCCTCTTCCAGATCCGTATAAAACGCCGTTCTCAGTCTTTTTCTCTTCGGATCAAATCTCAAGGACTCAAAGGCTTCCAGAACTTTGTCTTTGTTTTTCATAATGGAAGACAATGAATTCTTCTTTATTCCATATTCAGCTGCGATCTCTGCCTTTTTCTTGCCACTTTCCACTGCGTTTATGATGTCAATCTTTTCCTCAATGGACAAACTCTTCTTTTTCTTCACGGTTACTGGCTGAGTCACGGCTTCTGCAGGAGCCTCTGCCATCTCAGCGGCCGCTGGTGCAGACCTCGTCCCTGGTGCAGACCTCGTCTCTGAGCTCCCAGTACCAGTTTCTGTAACCAAATTTGGTTATCAGTGCAATATGTGCCAGGGATTTCTATCTATCCTTTCCTGTATTAAAATTGCTAAATATCAACAGTCTAATTCTTTAGGAAACTGACAACTAGACATATCTTTTCAGAGTCTGAAGGAAATTCTATATGCGACCCAAAGAGGCGCCTCCTTCCCAGGGTCTTGTGTGGCTCAATTTATAGTTCTTCAGAGTTCCAGGAGTCAAGCTAAAATAGGAATCTCATTAAGTCAAACCTGCCCAGTCCTGCTGATGTATTTTTGGAGTAGCAATCCTTTAAGACGATCCATTTTATCCATGCATGCTTCAACCTTCTACTAATTCTCCACAGAGGGCTTTGGAGGTAAGAAGAAACAAACTTTCAAAAGTGTCCACGTGAAACACCACCTGCTGTGTTCTAGTTTCCTCAAAGTTACAGGGGGGAAAAGTGGCATACTTCTAAGTTTTTCTTGAAAATGACAGGGGGAAAGGTAGCATTTTAGCAATATGTCAAGTGGATGCCAAGAAAATACTATGACACGCTGCACGACAATGAAACAGATGGGAAGAAGTTTCTGAGCAGGCAGCAACCAAGGCTTCCAGGGGAATGTTTACCTTCAGAACAGCTCGCCATTAAAACTTCTCCAGATCTGCCTTGTGGGTTCGGAGCCTCCCTGTGCTTCGTAATATATACTTCTAAAACAAATTGGACGAATTTAATCTGCTTTTCAAATGTGTGCTTGCCAAAATTAAAGACCTAAAAATGATCCTGGCTAGAGCCTCGGTGGCTGTTTTCTACATGAGGTCACAGACTGCAGCCTCTGAGTCTTCTAAAAGGACAGACAGTAGTCATGAGCTCAATTTTTAATAGCACACGGGAGACAGTCTTCTCCATAGCAGTCTGCTTCACTGAAATACTCAAATCAAGTGATTGACAGTTCCTTAAAAAAATCTAAACCCCATTCTCCCTCAAAGCTTAAACAGTCCAGAAATTTTTACATCAGTTTAGTACAGCACCTGACTATACATGTCAGTGTTGTTGAGACCATGCATCATAATAAACACATTAAGAGGATATAATGTAGGATATTATCTATACTAAAATAGGAAGTAGAGTGACCATAGTTCTTACCCTTTCAGGCTCTCTACTGTCTATGTGTGGAAAAGTGACTTGTCATGGTATAAAGACATGGGCTTTGGTGCACGATGGATCTTAAAATGTGACTGCCACTTAGTACTGGGTCACTTAACTTAAAAGCCTCAGCTCTTTTATCTGTAAAAGGGGAGAAACTGCAGGACTGACTTCATAGAGTTGCTGCATACTCAGTAAGACTCTGAGACAGTGCAGCAGGCACTTAACATAGCTTCTAACACACACACACACACACACACACACACACACACACACACACACACACACATCCTGGCATATAGTCCAAGCTAGCCTTGGGCTTGCTATCCTTTTGCTTCAGCCTTTCAAGTGCTGGCTAGGTCTAACAGTATGCAACCCGCAGAACTTGTTAAAGAAAGTGCCCAATGGGTGTGGGCTGATGATTTCATAATCATAGTCTTCTCTTTCAATCTTTTCATCTGTAAATTGCAGATTTGGGGACATGAATCACACTTAAAAATAGACTGGAAACAGTGTTCTCTCTCTGTGCATGTGTGCGTGTGTGGGTGCGTGTGTGTTTGTGTGACTCTCTCTCTCTCTCTCTCTCTCTCTCTCTCTCTCTCTCTCTGTGTGTGTGTGTGTGTGTGTGTGTGTGTGTGTGTGTTTGAGACTGGATGACATTGGGTGTCCTCTTCTTTACCTACTTTCCTTGAGACACAGTCTCTCTTTGAACCCGGAGCTAACCGTTTTTATCGAGGCTGGCCATCTATCTCCACCCCCAGCCCCCCCACCCCCACACTGAAGTTACAGGTCATGAAGCTATTGCATGGCTTATTAGGTAGGTTCTAGAGCTCTAGCACAGGCCTTCATGCTTGAGCAAGCACTCTTAGCAGATGAGCCCTCTTCCTTGCCAAGCCTCATTCTTTTTAAGCAGCAGCGGTGAGAACCCAGCCATAGGGCTCCATATAGCTGACATTCTCGGACTGCCAGCCCTCAAATCATGACACGGAGACTTAGTATTAGTTACGAATGCTCAGCCTTAGCTTATGCTTGTCACATAACTTATTTTAAACTGTTTCTCTTAATCTATGTTTTGCCTTGGGGCTTTTTAATCTTTCTTTCATTCTATATGCCCTACTCTGTGTCTTCCTGACTGGCTGCTGTCTGGCTGGTTGGGTTGGTTGGGGCATCTCTCTCTCTTTCTCCATCCCACAGTCTTTCCTCCTCCTCCTCTTCTTCTTCTCTTCTTCTGCCCCCTCTGTCTCCCCCTCTCTCTCCCTCTCTCTCTCCTAGATTCCTCCTCCTCTCAGCCCTGTCTATCCCTCTACTGCCTAGCTATTGGCTGTTCAACTTTTTCTTAGACCAATCAGGTGCCTTAGGCAGGCAAGGAGAAACAAATTCAACACACCTTTACATAAAGCAATATTTTCTAATATAAACAAATATAACACATTTTCATATAGTTAAAGTAATATTCTACAACAGCTCCAGACAGGCTCATAATCACCTCCTAGACGCCAGCTCTCTTTCCAGAATATATTCTGGGCATGCTGTGGCCAAGACAACAAGAAGCTAATATATCAAGTGCACATTATTATGGGGGCACTCTAGTCTTTCTGCTGTGTCTCTAGACTTCCTAGACAACAAGCTACATCTTTATGCTTTTTTTTTTGAGACATAATCTTCCTGGAGACTCTAGACTGGCCTTGAACTCATAATCTTTGTACCTAGGCTTCTTGAATGTTGGGATTACAGATGTGCTCAGCTCACACAAAAGTTCTTATTAAAACTCTTCTGACCTGTTGTCCAACTTAAAGGAGAAAATTTAAATAACAGGAATTATAGCATAGATTTGGTTTTTCTAAATTGTTGTTGCAAAAAGGGTCTTAATAACATCAGCATGGCTTTGGCTTTCACATTGCTTTGCTGCCTACATTTCAGGAAACTAAGGAGGGAGGTAAACCTAGGTTTTAATGGGCACACAGTTATAATGTGACTGGAATTCAGTTCAGAATCTAGTCTTTTTAATATACAGCCTTCAAAGCCACAGAGAAACCCTGTGTCAGAAAAACAAAAACAAAACAAAACAAAAACAAACAAAAAATATCCAGTCTGCATTCTATTCTTTATATTAGAGAATACTTGAATCATATTGATAGGGCCTTCTCTGACCATAATTTATATTTTCATTACTTTGCACCAAACCAAGCCAACACTTATAGTACCTACACAGAGCTTACAATAACTTTAAAAATGTTTATTTTTATTGTGTGTGTGTGTGTGTGTGTGTGTGTGTGTGTGTGCCCACACTGCATTGGCCCAGGAGTCTTCAGAGGTCAGAAGAGGCACTGGATCCCCTGGAACTGGGGTTACAAATGGTTACCTGCCCTGCCATGTGGGTGCTGGGGACCAAACCTGGGTCCTAGGTAAGAACAAGTATTCTTTTTTTGTTTGTTTGTTTTTCAAGACAGGGTTTCTCTGTATTGCTTTGGAGTTCTGGCACTCGCTCTGTAGACCAGGCTGGCCTCGAACTCACAGAGATCTGCCTGCCTCTGCCTCCCAAGTGCTGTGATTAAATGTGTGTGCTACCAATGCCTGGCAGAACAAGTGTTCTTAAACACTGATCCACTTCTCCAATACATTCTACAGGCAATATCAGGTTTCTATAGGAGAATGAACCATTATGAATGCTGTAACACCCATAACATCTTTAGCTGACTTTTAGGGAAAGCTAGACTTTCTAAGTAAACAGAATTTGACCATTTGACTGAGCCCCCTCAATCTTAGAACATTTTTTATATGGGGACTCCTTGCATATTTTCTTACAAATCTGTTGACTATTATCTATGTAAATATTTTGCTTTTACTAGTTTTGATATTAGCATTCAGAAAACATCTCCCTCTCTCCCACTTTATTTCATTTGTCAAAAAATAAACAGGGGCACAGAAACGATAACTTGAACACAGAAACGATAACTTGAACTCCTCTTTGTTCATCCCAATTAAAGCAACAATAATAAAAAAATAGATTGAAAATCTGTAGTCTCCAAATCTTAAATCCAGAGGATTTATGTATTAACGATGCTCAACTTGTAGAATCTATGCAAATATTCTAAATAAAAACTCACCCTTGTGTGAGCACTTCAGATAATGAACACTGCCCATAGATGCAGTCATAGAGACCAGGTCATCTTGGTCAGTATCTTTATTTAGGAAGATATTTAACTTCCTTCTTGAGTCAACAGTATCATTTCCTTCAACAAACAAGTCAAATTTTCATAGCAAAGCACAACAAATTCCTAAAGCTATCAAATATGTGGTGTAAACCAGACGAACCAGACCTTTAACCTACAATACTATAATCATTAATACTACCTAGTTAATAAAATGAATGTTATCCAGCCTCCCATGGAATCATGGCTGGTGTTGGTTTTTGCAAGGAATAATGGCAGTAACTAATATTTACTGAAAATTTTCATCCTTTTAATAAGTTCAGTATTCATTTCCCCTTTAAACATATTTGGCCGAAAAATGCTGTCCTACAAATTAGAGAATACTTTCTCGATGTCAACAGTTAAAGTAAGTAATAGGCATTTCCCTAAAGAACCCTCCAGGTGATAATGAGTCCTCTTTTATAGTTTTGTTTTTGCCTGTGAGTATGGTAGCATCTAGTGTTTTCCAGGGCATGGTTACCTTCGTTGTTAGGAGGCACTTAAATTGGCACAAAACTTATGGGAGGCAAATGAGCAATAGGAGAGGAGAAACTTTAATAGAGAAAGTCTGTATCTAAAACTCTGTCTGGAATTGGAGTTCCAGGTAGTTGTGAGCCATGTGGGTACTGGGAGCTGAGTCTTTACAAGAGGTCTACGAGGTCCTCTCACCTCGGCAGGAAGGACTGTTGATAGAGCTCTTCCCAGCCCAGCAACCATCCATTATCCCATATGTCTATAGGTGAGAAGCCCAGGAAAGTTGATTGGGTCTTTTGGGTCTCACCAAGCAGAGAGCAGGATGCCAGTCTCTTATTGAGAGGCTCTGAGTCTCACTGGGGTCATTCAGAGTTTAATTCCTTGCTGTGTAGGACTGAAGGCCCTGGCATGTTTCTGTCTCTAGTCTTCTTCACTCACAGCAGAGAATGCCCCTCCTGTCCAAGCTCTTGTACACCCTCACTTTCTTTGACTTCCTCTCCTAACTGCTGTTAAAGGGTTCATGTGGTCACGTTAGTTAGGCTCACCCAGATTAGCTCCCTGTTAGTTCTGAAAAGCCAACTAATTAGCTACCTTAACTATGCCTGTAAAAATCCCCTCGAAGGTAATATTACATGATTATGGGAGCGCTATCTCATCATGTTTACAGGAAGGGAAAAATACAAGGTGGAAGTCATTGGAGGTCAGCCTAGATTCTCCATGGTACATAATATTTTTTGGGCTATACATTATAGGCAGAACTGGAAAAATCTAAATGTACCACAAAAGGTTAATTAAATAAACTAATATATAATCTCTATATTAAAATACTACTGTACCATTGAATGATATTTTTTGGACAGAGTCTTATTCTGTGTAGCCCAGGCTAACCTCAAATTCAGAGTTTTGGCCTCCTCTATAGTTCAGGTTACAGGTATAAACCATTATTCCTGGATGGAAGGATTATATTAATGGCATGAAGAAAATTCTATGACACAAGTTAAAAAAAGCAAAATATGAGTCTACATGCCAGAATATACTGAAAATTACATCAGGCAAACCATAGATTATTAATAACAATTGTCAAATAAATGAAGAAAAAATGAATAAAAAGACACTAGCCAGAAGTGTTGAGTGTTCCTGCTAGTAAATGAATTGCAAGTTCAGCCTCCCCATCCATATTTCCTCCCTTCTTTTTTAAAATTCTAATGTTCTATTTGTACCAGATTGTAAAAGAAAACTAAAGCCCTGGGAGACATAACACTGGCAGTCTTCCCATGCAGAAAGGCTGGGGAGTAGTAAATTATTCTGTGCTTATCACTAGTTTCCAGCTCTCTGCAGAGACCCAGCCACTTCCCAAACTGAAAACGCACTCACTTTTGTCTTTCTCTACTAGACAGCAACTATGCCCACTTAAACCTGCCCATACCACAACTCTAAATAGCAGCAATTGCTGGTCTTCTAGAACTTTCCTGGTGTGCAACACAACATATTTATATAACCCAAATAGTGTTAACTTCCTGGTGGTTATGAAAGAATAACCTAAAAGGGTGCAGGAGCAAATGCGATGGCTCAGCAGCTAAAACACTTGCTGTACAAACCTGATGAAGGCTGGGTCTCTTTTTGGACTAGGGAAAACAGATATGAAGAGTCAGCAGTGTAAGGCAGAGCAACAGGGGTCCAAATTAAGGGCTGTGGTAAAGAGAGGGCAAAACAACAACAACAACAACAAAACTCTCACAGGAAGGACAAAATGCGTTTCTAATAGAAGCAAGAGCTGAGCCCAGTGTCAAGGATGAGCAGGAGTGAGGTGTGAAGACATTTCTGCAAAGACTAGACAGTGAAAACATACATGCCAGAAGACATTTCTGCAAAGACTAGTCAGTGAAAACATACATGCCAGAAGCGACAGGGCTAGGAACATACTAAGCAGTTGTGTGATCACACCTTCATCCCTATATGCAAGTGGATGGAATTCGGCTAAATGAGCCCTCTTACTCCAGATGAGTACTGATTTGGTTGGAGGGGTGACATAGCAGAAAGCAAGACTGGGACCAGACCTCA